GAAATTACCTAGGAGTTGGTATAAACAGAGAAGAAATGAGGTCCAAGGATTGAGGCTGCTTTTTGGAAGCTACTAGATAACGTTTCACCAAAAAGGAGTAAACCAGGAAAGGAGAAGGCATAAGATGTGGAAATAGGGAATCCGACACTGGAGGCAGAAAGAATCCCCACACTGATGGCGAAAGATCCCGAAATTATAGGTCTCAAGAGTAATGTCTGAATTGGAGCGAGAGGGTGAGGGTCCTGGGAGGGGTGTCACCAAGAAAAAAAACAATAAGGAAACTTGATTGCAGATACTGAGATTTGGTGAATTAGATAGGAACACAGAACACTAAGCAGATGGAAGAACAAGGCAATTACTAACCTTGTATGTAAACACATACTTACAGAAATTAAATATAGAATTACATCACGGGCCGGCCAAGCGGCATGTTGGTTAAGAACTGGCTTGGGATGCCAGAGGGCCCCGGTTTGGATCCCACATATGAGGGCCAGTGACACTGCCCTCTATAGCTAAGATGCTGCCAGCAGCCAGCGTGAGCGGCCAGCAGCCGCAGTGAGCGGCTGTCCAGAAGCCGGCGACTGATGTGCCTCGCCCGGGAAGAGGTCAATGATGGTGCCAACTTGGGCCAGTGAAGCAACGTCCTCCACAACTAGACCGAAGAACAAAACGACAGCAACTTGTCTGTTCCCCTTCCCCCAATTCCCCAGTATGTTCCCATCCCCCAATTCNGTAGCCAGCAGCCAGCGTGAGCGGCCAGCAGCCGCAGTGAGCAGCCGTCCAGAAGCCGGCGACTGATGTGCCTCGCCCGGGAAGAGGGCAATGATGCTGCCAATGAAGCAATGTCCTCTACAACGAGACTAAAGAACAAAAGGACAGCAACTTGTCTGCTCCCCTTCCCCCAATTCCCCAATAAAAATCTAAAAAAAAAAATTACATCAATATGATATTCACAGAAATGTAAATATATGGCTTTAACCATAAACTATTATATAATTAAAAGGGTTCTAATTGAAGAGGTATAAACTAAAAATCAAGAAATTATAGTATAAGATTATTTAGGGCAATTCCACTTCTAAGTATATGTCCAAAAGAATTGAAAACAGGGACTCATAACAAGCTCATGTAAATGAAGGTTCGTAGTAGAACTATTGAAAATAGCCAAAAGGTGGAAACAACCCAAATATCCATTAATTATGATATACATATGTGGAATATTATTCAGTTATAAAAATGAAGTAGTTACATGCTACAATGAGAATGAATCCCAAAAACATCACGCTAAGTGAAAGCCAGACATAAAAGGGCACATATTGTACGATTCCACTTAAATGAAATACCTGGAATAGATAAACCCATAGGAACAGAAAGCAGATGGGTGGTTAGCCAGGGGTAGTGGGGAGGGGAGAATGAGGACTTAACTGCTTTCTGAATACAGGGTTTTATTTGGGGGTGATGAATATGTTTTGGAACTAAATAGGGCTGGTGGTTGCACATTATGAATGTACTAAATGCCACTGAATTACTCACTTTGAAATGAATTTTATGTGAATTTCACCTGTTTTTAGAAATAGCTGAGTTGAAATTGGTCACTCTAGACTTGCAAAAGGGAAGGGACTACCAGATCAAGGTCAGAGAATTAAGTTCATGAACTCATCCTAGAAAAAGGGCTACCTACCTCATTGCTGAATATCACCACGGTCACCTTCAAAGTACTCCCTTTGGGAAGCTATACACCAGCGCCAGTGCCTAGTCCACCCTTCAAAACAATTTTGGAACTGTTTTTCTGGAATGTCCATCAGAGCTGTCGTCGTATTACCCTTGATGTCCTGAATGTCATCAAAATGTCTTCCTTTCAATATTTCCTTTATCTTCAGGTAAAGAAGGAAGTCATTGGGGGCCAGATCAGGTGAGTAGGGAGGGTGTTCTGGCTAGAAACTCCCTCACAGACATTGAGTGCCCTGTGAACTGGTGCACTGTCGTGATGCAAGAGCCATGAATTGTTGGCGCAAGTTCAGGCTGTCTAACTTTTTCACGCAGCCTTTTTAGCACTTCCAAATAGTAAACTTGGTTAACTGTCCAGTTGGTACAAATTCATAATGAATAATCCCTCTGATATAAAAAAATGTTAGCAACATCATTGCAACAAGTTTGTGAACTTATCAGACCTGGTAGTCTAAGTCTTATAAAATGACACATCTTTTAAAGCCACATATGTATAACTTCAATTAAAAAATCGTTAAGATGTGGGGGGAGGGGGGTTGTTACTTTGTGAGGATGAAAAGGATAACTACTGCATTGTTCTGTACACCTGAAACTAACAATAAAAAAATAAATAAAAAGTTAAGATGAACACCTGTCACTTAAAGAAAAATGCTTTTTAAATGAAGAGAACAGTTGTTGAAGGAAGTCTTCAAATCCTAGGGCTCACATATGGGTGATTTGGACAAATAAGATCCATATGCTGATTCCAACTGTGTCAAAATACATGTACAAAGAAAAAGCACATGGAAACTTTTGTTTATAAAGGAAGAATAAGTGTCTAAGTCCAGAACATGAAAAACCATACTGTATTAAACAGCAGAAAAAAAAGAAAAATTTAATTAGACTTATCTATTAAAAAAAAATACAGAAAATCCTTAAAGATAGTATCAATGAAATTCTTAAATTTCTACAGCAAAAATACCATAAGCCAGATCAAAATTGGGAAAAATATTTGTAGCACATGATAAAAGGTAAAAATAACAATGTTCCAAAAGAGAAACTGGAATAGGGCATGAATACGCAATTCACAAAAAGGAAACATAAGATACTCCTCAGTAACCAATGTAAAACAAAAACAGAAATCACTGATTCTCGTTAACAAAGATTTAAATAATTATCTTGGGATAACTACAAAACAAATTACAATACATAACCTCTATGGAATAAGTATCCACAGCTAGGACACAGCAAGTGAAAGATTACGGAATGACCTTTGTAGTATGATGCCTATGTACAAAAAAGTGTCTGTGAATATACTAACAGGTTGCTACCTGGAGGCGTGTTCACTAAAGAAATTGTCTACCACATATGAAGTACCCATGTAATCTTTAATGATAATTTTGATTCTTGAGAATCTAAACCCCCTAAATCACAGCCTGTAAGTGGGAGGGCTGCTTCTGACATCCAAACTTGACCCCTCTGCCCACACGCAAAAGGATTGCAGGTGCTTTTTACATTCTCTTTCTTATATTGTTTAGTATCAAGTATATTACTTTAAGATATTAAAAACCTCCAGCATGTAGTCTTAGTATTTTCAGTTCTGTTGTCTCGATGGCAAGAATTATAAATATGTAAATACTCCTTATCATTTAAAAGAAAACAGCGATACACTGAAACATGAAGTGCTCCACCTATGACGGACTAGTTTTTTGTCCAGAACCACCGATACCCAACGCTTACCTAGCTATCTAGGGTTTGCAAAGGATCGTGCTGGGTGTGACCTTGTTTTACTTGTTCATCCCTCTTGGAGATGTTTGCCTTATCAGTTTATTTCTTGGTTTATGATTGTTAGCCACTTTAAAACATGAACACAAAAGCACAAGGGATTAAAAACTTGTATCTAACACTAGGTAAGAAATGGGTAAAATACTGAAACACTTGTCCGCACCTGTCTCCCTTATTTGTGAGCCTACTAGGAAATCAGTCAGCACACACAGCATGGAACACGTACTGCTGGGTAGGTGATATATGGTCCTGAAGAACAAGGTAAGTGACTTGGGTGTCTGTACCCTGTGAGCCCAGCACCCAACAGGCTATCAATGCTTGTTAACATATTGGTCTCTCAAAAAGGACTTTGCCTAATAGTGTGATTTCTTTTATTTTTATTAAAGTTTATTGGCGTTGACAATTGTCAGCCAAGTTACACGGGTTTCAGGCGTACAATTCTGTAATACATCATCTATATATCACATTGTGTGTTCACCACCCAGTCAGTTCTCCTTCCATCACCACATATTTAATCCCTTTACCCTCATCTACCACCTCCCTCTCCCCTTACCCTCTGGGTAACCACTAAACTGTTGCCTGTGTCTATGACTTTTTGTTTCTTCATTTGTTTTTCTTGTTCTTTTGTTTTCAGTTTTATATACCACATATCAGTAAAATCATATGGTTCTCTACTTGTTCTATTTCGCTTAATAGTGTGATTTCAAACACAACTTTGATTACTACTTAGGGTAACACCTAAGTAAAAAGCTTCTTATTAAGTATAAACTTAGAAAAAAGGTGGTACACTCAAATGGCCTGATTGAACTTTTCCTGTATCCTGAAGGAGCGTGGCTTTGTAAACCAGCCAAACACGCAGTTTTCATTTATTGGTCTTAAAATCTTGAAAAGCTCATTCCAGTTGTTCAACAGAATTGCCTCATTCAAACAGGGATACCCAATATTCTGACAACATCCGGGTGAGTAAATTTTATTTATTTTAACCCATTCAAAAGTTGCCAAGCTCAGGAGCCTGAGTTCCCCTCAGTTCCTCCTGTTCCCTCTGCTCCAGATGAACTGTGCTTGCTTACTGTTTGCTGCATCTCTTCTTCCTCATCTTTTAGCCTCACCAGCAAGTCTGGGAAAAAATATCACCACCACCTTAAGTCTCTCCACACTAAAGATGCTCCTTTCTCCAGACACTTTCATGTGTATTTCTGATACTACACTCTGGGTAACATCTATCACAGTTGTACCTAGCATTTAACATCAAATGTATCAAATACTTGGAAACATTTTTCCTGTAACATTAAAACAACTAAGTCACTACTACTTCCTAGTTTCTTCCAGCACCCCTATACCACCTAAACTGCTCAACTTGATGCAATTATAAACGGATGCAACAATGGATGCTATCTTATTGCTCTGCAGACTTACACAATTCTAATTCTGCTAAAACACACTTCCAAATCAAAAAAGAGCAACATATACGAATCACTGATAATTTTTTAAGGAAAGAAATACAAAACATGTTTCTAGTTAAACAATGATTTTATTCCTTGAGTACATAGACAAATTTATGCGACCAGGGCAGAGGCCGTGGATGACTCGCTGAAAAGGAAAAAGGAGGGGAGAAGACGGAATTAATACAGGTCCTCCATATTCATCCATAGAATTTCCCAGCTAATGGACTTATTTCCAAACAGCTAAAATAAACCCCAACTATATTAAGTGCACCAAACTGCTGAGTTCTTGAATCAGTTCATTGTGCTGAAGCATAATGAATTAAGATGCTCACTCAGACATCCAAGGAAGAACTGGCCAACATAAGGAAAAAACCTTTCTGGTGGAAACTGCGAATGTTTGGAAATCAATCATCATAGTGAGCAACTGACACAAAAAAGAAGACAACATGAAAACCTGGGAGCAGTAGTATGAACTGGAATTTTACCCACTATCTAAAGTTTCAGTGGAACACAGCCAGACACCCACATATTTATGTATCATCTATGGCTGTATTCCTGCTATAGTAGCAGAAATGAAAGAGTGGTTGACCATATAGCCACGACCTAACACCTTACTAACAGTCCTTTTACTCTATTTACTTTCTGGCTAACTTGTTAACAAATAAGGCTGATACTTACTATTTCCAATTGGGGGGGAGGACTCGTTTGGTCTTATAATATCGAGCCAACCGGTGAATACGGCTCTCGATCAGAATCAGACGGAATTTAGCATCCTTATCCTAAAAATAAAAAAATTAGAATTCAAAAAAACTATTCAAACAACTAAACATTATCAAACACTATTTATTAACAAAGGAATATATAGACACCATGCACTTTAATGAAAACAGTTACCCTGTAATAGAATCACAGGCCAGGGTTCATGTGGCTACCTTAATTCCTTAAGGGAATTTAGTTTCCAGAAGACCGAGAAGGAATGCTTTGCATAACTCGGCAAATAAACACCTCAACATTTTCAATCAACTGAACAGACTGTCTAGAGGAGGCCAAGACCATCCCGCCAATCTCTTCCAGAATTTTTATTTCAAAGCAACTTTAGTGTGACCAGATTTTGTCCTTAACCACCTTAGATAATCCAAATCCAAAGCATTACATTTTACTGAAATAAATTAGAACAAGCAGGCCTATGCGCTTACCTTTCTATTTCTCTCAAGATGCTTTCGAACGGCAACAGCTTTCTTAATTAAATGGTAGAGATCCTCAGGAAGATCAGGCGCAAGTCCTTTGGACTTAAGAATTCTCAGGATTTTATTGCCTGTCACAAAACGTACTTGTGCAACACCATGCGAGTCTCTCAGGATCACACCTGAAAATGAAATAATATGTTAGAAACTGCGAATGTTGGAAGACCATCATCATAACGAGCTTGCTGGATGGACACCAAAGCTAATTAAAACCATCTATAAAAGTTTATTAAGAACATCAGATCTTCTAAGTATTTTATGTACGTTATTTTCCTTAACTCTCAAAACAGCACATATGACTACTTGACAATCTACTATGTACTTCCTATTGTGTGTGATACCCCCACTAGATCATCAAGTTCCAGGAGGGCAGATATTTTGCCCTTTTCCGACTACTGTATCCTCAGCTTTCAGAACCACATAGCAGGCACACATTTGCCGAATGAAGCCACTTGCAAAGTCACACACAGCTGAGACTCAAATCACACCTAACTGAGAAACTGTGACAAGGGCTGTGAGTCCAATCCCAACTCCTTCATTCAACAGCTGTGTGATTTGGGGCTAGTTCTATAACTACACTGTGCCTCCGTTTCCTCAGTTGTCAGGATGGGTAAAACTACTAGCATGTATTTGAAAGTATTGCTGTTAGAATTAAACGAGGCAAGTATATGTCAAGTTCTTAGAACAAGGCACTGAACGACAGTGTCTAGCTCATAGTAAGTACTCATTCAATTTTGCAGCACGTGTTAATAATTTTATCGTCCGAGTGAGAATTTGAGAGTTCAACAAGTGACGACCAGGTCTCGGTCATCAACAGTAAAGCCAGGAAAGAGGGCGAACGGTTTTCTAGGCACGAATGGGGCACATTCACCCCAGTCTTTTTTCAGCAAGTTAGACGAGGGCAGGCGGAAGAGGCTCCATTCCACAAACGCGCTCACCGATCTGTGAGGGAGTCAGCCCCTTCTTAGCCAGTTTGTAGATCTGCTCCTTCACATCATCAGATGTCAGCTTCAGCCACTGTTTGTGGGAAAGAAAGGGCCTTAGGACGAGAAACCAGGGACGGCCCCTGCGCACAGCGGTCCCTCCACCCTCAAAGTCGCGCTCCTCGCGCACACATGGCCCACACAGCCCGCATGCCGGCGTCACTTCTCCGGAGCAACGAATGGCATCCTCATCCCCCCACCTTCCCCCGAGCCCCGCACGCTACTTACGGTGGGGACGCTGCGGCGGTACGGCAGAGCCGACTGGGACAGGCCCTTCCTGGGGAGAGAAGCAGTCTTAGGATAAAGAGGCAGTCCGCGCCACATCATCAACCCAGAACATCATCCCCTCGACCCGCTGCCCACACTCCTCCCTTCCCCCCATTTCCACGGCCGTGCCCTGCAATTTGCAGGGAAATCGGAGCTCACCCGGGAGCATGCATGCGACCCATGATGGCGGTGGTCAAGCAACGAAAAAGAGCGAGGGTTGTAAGAACTTCCGGAAGCCACCCAGCACTCAGGAAATGACCTCACACGTTCCCGCTTCATGCGGGAGGCGGGGTTACGCTGCGTGGCTCTCGGCGTCCGCGTAACTGCATATCCCGAAATGCATTTGAATGGGGGAGATTTCTCAATCCACAGGACTACACATCCCGGCGTGCATCGGCCCTTGAGGAGGCTCGTGGGTGGAGCGGAAAGTTGAGCCCTTTTCCAGCGGGACCTGTACACTTCTGGAAGTGCTGCTCAAACCAAGATAGTGCAGGTTCGGATCCAGGACTGGGAGTCGGCATGAAGCCGACAGCTGCAGGGGGCGGTGGACCTAGTCCCTGTCCTTGGAAAGGCCGTTATCTGTGCCCCCGACACCACAGAATTTGGGTGCCTTAAGTTCAGCCATACAGTTTGATATTGTTCATTCAGCAGCGCCAGTCCTTATCTTGGTACTAGAAACCTCGGTGGGCTTCAGCCCTTAATATGCTCAGGTACAATACCATGGTGATAAGTGCCTACACTTGAAGTAATTAATGGTAATGATTAACACCCAGCCAGAGCTAATCCTAATCTCACAAGGGAGGGATCACTGACCAGGGAGAAGTACCGGCCCAGGGTTTTGATGCAGGCACTGGCGGGGCCCTACCCTCTCTCTACCCCCACCTGGCACCCCTCCACACTTTTTTTTTTTTAAAGATTTTATTGGGGAATTGGGGGATGGGAACAGCATTGGGGAATCGGGGAAGAGTAACAGACAAGTTGATGTCCTTTTGTTCTTCAGTCTAGTTGTGGAGGACGTTGCTTCACTGGCCCAAGTTGGCACCATCATTGCGCTCTTCCCTGGCGAGGCAGATCAGTCGCCAGCTTCTGGACGGCCGCTCACTGCGGCTGCTGGCCACTCTCGCTGGCTGCTGGCTACACACAGTACCCATGGCAACCCACTGCCACAGGGGCTGCAGCCTACGCCATCACCAGCGACTCACGGCAGCCCAGCTCCAGGTTGAGCTGTTGTTCAGCATCTTAGCTGTGGAGGGCAGTGTCACTGGCCCTCATATGTGGGATCCGAACCCAGCCTCTGGTGTCCCAAGCCAGCTCTTAACCAATGCGCCACTCGGCCGGCCCCCCCTCCACACTTTTGCTCACACTGGTCTGTGGCGTGCTTGGCTTGGTGGGGAGGAGTGTTGGGCAAAGCCTCACTGAGCCGCGTGCCGGAGTGAGAGAGTTGAACGGAGGGGGTTTAGGGGGAGGAGGAGACGCTTTGGAAACAAGACTGCAAAGGCAGGAGCTAGATATAGGGAGGCGAAGGGAAGTGTGGAGGATGGTGGAGATAAGGAGGCATTTGGGCTTCTTGGTAAAAGGACCTGCCACTGAAACTCTTAGGATTGACTCAGTGCTGGTAGGAAGGAATGCGTTGAAAGCATGGGCAAACGAAGGGGCTTGTTCAAAAACATGGGGAGGGAGGGAGGTGAAATCAATAAATGACAGCCGTCAAGTTTGAACTGGTGAGATTTTGAAACTAGGTACTAAATCATCCCGCCTCCCCTACTCTTTCAACCTGTCACTACTATTTGATGAGTAACTTTCCAAAGCATTAAGAATTTCACTCAAGGGCTGGCACGTTGGTTAGGAGTTAGTTGGCTTGGGACACCAGGTCTGAGCAGCAGGGCACTGGTTCGGATCCCACATGAGGACCAGTGACGCTGCGCTCTCTACAGCTAAGATGGTGAACAGCAGCTCGACCTGGAGCTCGACCATGAGTAGAGGCAACAGCGTAGGCTGCAGTGAGGCTGGCCCGCAGCTGGCGTGAGCTTTTGTGAGCTGCGGTGAAAGGCCAGCCAATGGCCACGGGGCGACTGCCTCACCCGGGAAGAGCACAATGATAATACCAACGTGGACCAGTGAAGCGAAGTCCTCCACCACTAGACTGAAGAACAAAAAAGTACAGCAACTTGTCTGTTCCCCTCCAATTCCCCAACAAAATCTTAAAAAAAAAAATTTCCTTCAAATTGGGTAATCTATTTTTCCTAGCAAAGATGCATTCTTATCGTTAGCCAAATTTACATCTTCAGCCCAGATATGGAATAGGTTTTAAACATGGCTCCAAATCCCAATCCTCACCCCTACCTACCCACTCCAGGTCCCTTTTCAGTTAAACACTACCCATTTGATTTTTCCTTTTTGTCTAATTGCCATTAGTCATCTCAGCTCTACCACAAAAATGTCACATTCACTTCTCTCCATTCCCACTGCTATCCCCAATCCAAGCCACCAGCTCTCATATGGGCAACTCAGTGGTATCCCAGCTGTTTGTACTTTTACTCATGTTCCCCTCCACCCCAAACACATATAACCCATTCTCCACCTAGCAGTCAGTGATATTTTAAAAACGTAAATCAGATCACTTATTACTCCCCTGAGGTTGAGCATCTTTTCATATGATTGTTGGCTATTTTGGAGAAATGTCTATTCAGTCCTTTGCCTATATAGAAATTGGGTTGGCTCTCTGCTGTTTTAACCCTACCAGACTTGAGGCCCTGAACCTAACTGCCCCCTATACCTGGGCTCCTGAGCTTTAAAGAGAAAAAACCAACATGATATAGAAAAATGTTAGTTACATGCAAACAAGTGGTTGGAATAAGATGGAACTTGGAGACACTGTAGAAAATAGGTCTACCTTTCATCTAGCGCCAGTATTCCACCTTTGTGTGCCAATCCACCCAGCAGGATGAGCCTTGTTTCACACAGAGGTACCTCTTGCAAAGTGAGCACCAGATGTTGCTCTTCACCTTTCTTGCATGGATTGTTTGTAAGACACTCCAGGATTTTGCTTGTTGTACCTGGAGTGCTTTTCCATGCACACAACACAGACATGATTAGAAATTACCGAAAAATCAGTACAGCGGTCTGGTAGGGTTAAGTTCTTTATACATTCTGGATATCAGACCCTTATCAGATATGATTTGTGGCTATTCTCTCCCATTCTGTGAGTTGTCCTTTTACTTTAATATTGTCCTTTGATGCACAAGTTTTTAATTTTGATAAAGTCCAATGTATCTATTTTTCTTTTGTTGCTTGTGCTTTTTGTCAGATTAAGAAACCCTTGTCTAATCCAAGGTTACAAAGATGGACACCTATGCTTTCTTCTAAGAGTTTATAATTTTAGCTATGTTTAGGTCTTTGATCCATTTTGAACTAATTTTTTTGTATATGTTGTAAGAGTCCTACTTCATTCTTTTGCATGTGGTTATCTAATTGTCCCAGCACCATTTGTTGAAAAATCTGTTCTTTCCCTATTGATTTTGTCAGTCTTGTGTCTTTCCTGGATCATGATTCAAACAAACAAAATAACAAAATAGTTGTTATAGAAATGAAAAATACAACAACCAAAATTAAGAACTCAGTAGATGAGTTAAACAGTTGAAGAGAGTAGTGAATTGGAGAAGTCATCAGAACTGATATTACTGATCCAGAATTAAGAATCCTAAATAGAAAAAAATAAAGATACCTGCACCTAGGCACATCCTAGTTAATATAGATAAAAAAATATATAGATTAAATAAGATTAGCCCCAAGGTAATGACTGTTGAAGGTATCTGATGGATTCATTCATGGAGTTCATTATACTGTTGTCTAATTCTGTATATGTCTAAAATTTACATGATAAAGAGTTTCAAAAGAGTATGGGTGAAATAAAGTTTGTTTTTTTGTAACAGAAATTGAGTTCATCACTCCCAAGAAACTGGCTCTAGTTGTTTAATTTATTGCTTTTCATGGTCTCTGGGCTCTTTTACATGTTACAGTATGGTATAGAATTGACATTCCCCTGTTGTGTAGATATGTCTATAACATGGCTGTTACCACACTATTTAATATTTAAATAAACTACCAAAAGCCAGGGACCATACTGAAGCATTTCACTTCTATGAAATGGTGATGAGGCTCTAGGAACGTGGCAATTCAGACCTTCAAAGAACCACACTTAGAAATCAGACACTCTATTTGGACATCTTTAGGGGCAACTGACAGGCCAGTTCTGAAATTCAGCATTATTTGAACCTAATAAACTCCTGGGTGAGATGCAAAGAACAGCAACAGTGAGCTCAAAGTTTGGAACCAAAAATGTTAATATGTAGATAAGAAATGAAAGCAGTGTTCCTTTATTCCAGAAATATTTTAATACAATCATAGTACAGTTACGAAGTCACATCCAATCCACTGAATATATTCAAGGTATTAATAAAATATCATACATCTTTATTCACTACCTTAATATAATTAAAGTATTTGGTTCTTATAGATGAGACTAATTGCTATATTCATTCATATTTGCACTGCTAGTCAAACCTGCATGTAAGTAAATCTTTTGATTAAAGATAAAGAGTGCCGCTTTAGTCCTTTTTTATCTGAAGTATCAAAATTGACTGTTTCCTTTTTTAAATGCAACAATACTTGAATCCTAGAAAAAATAGTTATCCCATTTAAGGCAAGATATTGAAAATTTTATACAACTTTAATTTGAAAACATAAAAGAATACTTTATCAAAGGTCATTCATGCCTTAACGTTTAGATACCTATGATTTTTATAAAGGCAATAATAAGAATGTCAGTGCAAGTTCATACATTGGGTTCCTCAGTAGAGAAAATAATAGCTTCTTGGAGTAAACCATTATTTTCAAGTCCCAAAACACTGCAAGAGGAAAGAATTCTTCTGGTGCAGGACTTACGTGTAGCGTAATTATTTTTATTCGATAAAGATACAAAACTTTGTGAGTATACATAAAAATTAGTGTCTTGGCCGGTTTGTTTAAACTTTTGTTTGATTTACTTTAATGCAAGCTTTAAAAAAATGTTAAAAAAAACAACTGATTTAAAATCTATTGATAGTAGTGCAAAAAGGCGCCTCTGCCCCCCACCCCCCTTTTTTTTGGTAAGGGCTAAAGATTAGTATTTCACAAAGAAATAACTTATATTAAAATATATGTTAAGTGTGTGTGGTATTTTAATGACCAAAAAATGCACAAAATGAGTTAAATTAAGAGAAAACATTACCACTTGTTCTGAACTCTGTTAACTGTACAGTATTAATCATAATATACACTTTTAGATAAGAATCCAGATTTCTTATAATTGAAAAGTGACATCACATTTTCTAGTTCTATTATTTGTGCTAAGAGACACTGCAATAACGAACTACAAATAGGCAGTATACATTGAATTCAATAATGACCTTTTACCAAAACTGTACTTTCATTTTACAGTGGCTAAGTGACAACTCATGGAATGGAATTAGGTCTCAAAAGTTTAAATGAAACTATCTAGTACTTCTTTACATTTGCAAAGCTACTTATACACTTTATGAAAATGTTAACTATATGTGGAAAAAGAAAATAAACGATGGTGACATTCATATAGCATACTCACAAGGTTTCCTACAAATGGACCATTAGTGTTAGGCACCAAAAATTTCAAGTTTTTGTTTTTTGTTAAAAAGTCCGTCCCATTGATACATCCTCAACTCTTCTATTTCTGCTCTGCAGGTATCATCACTTTCGTTAAACATTTGCACAGTTTGTAAAAATTCTGTTCTGGACAACTGAATTATCCTTTCTTGGTATTCTTCATTGCATATTTTGTCAGTTATCTCACAGCACCGAGATTGCTACAATCTCTAATTTAAAAAGCGAATTTCTATTTTAGCCATGAGAATATTGTATATTCTTAACTGTGTGAAGTTGAATGAATAACTATAAAAACGAATATTATTCTTAATGGTTGCTGTAGAATAATTTCAATCATGTCCCTTATGATTCTGAATCATATTAAGTAGAGTGATTTACGTGAATGTACAATGTTTACAAATGTCAGTAGGACAGCTTACAAGACAAACTTTGCCATCAAAATCTATATTAAAATTCAATCTGGACCCTAGAATTCTTGTCCTGGGCCTCTTGTGAAGAGTCTGACCTACGCATGGAGTTCTTCTACCAAACAGGTATGGGAAAATGGGTAAACAATTTTCACTTGTTTAATGCAGGAGTGGAGTATAGATATACGGAAGCGAAACTACCAAACTGCAACTCACACTCCTAGGAATAAATGTAGGATTGTAACGGAATGATGGAATTTAGTGTACAGCTACATCAATGAATCTCATTCAGTTACTGGGCAACAAAAACAAATCAAATGGCTGACTGTTTAAATAACTAAGTCATACATCAGGAGTAGAGAAAATGATCTTTCTATGGGAAAAATATACTATACTAGTATATGCTAGTAAATATACATAATTTTTTGTCTTGAGTAAGTTGAAAGTGAGTGAAAACTACTTACTAAATATTTATCAAGTCAGGAAAAAAATATCAGAATGAAGTGCCAGGGAAGCCTGTGAAGTGAAGGCACCATTATTTACAACTTCAGTGATTGGCACTTAATTCTGAAAAGGGCTTTAAAGACATGAATAATAAAAATCAGTATTATTTCCCCTTACTTCTCTAAACTACTTAGTAGTTCTTAACATAACTATCTATTGTTTGTGCTTTGCTTTTCAGCCCTGTGAACAGCAGCTGCGTTTTATGGTAACACCCTGCACCGTTCCCGTCCTTTGGTGTTTGCAAACATGCACAGTGGTAAAGGCTGCAGAAGGTGCAAAAACACGAAAACAAACATGCTGTGTCTGTGTAAGAAACAATGCAAACTACACCAAACTAAAGCTATGACTCTGAATTAATCACGAGAGGATGAAATCCTTCACCAACTCAAAGTCTTTTTCAGGAGTTAATATATATTAAGTTTAGGGTTTATAGCATTCTATATAATGACTTTAAAACGGCAATGTCTTCAACAAATTCATAAAAGTTAGGTATGTGACTGTTGGTCCAACACGTGCTGAAATGCAGCAAGTACATTTACTTTACAATTTCTGTCCAAATATAAAAATACTATACAAAGTTCTCAAGTGTATGTGTGTGTGTGTGCGCGCACATATTTATAACTGTTTGTGCTTCCAAAGCTCAGACATTCACTAGCTTATAAATAAGTTGCAGCAGTCAGCTGATACCACTTAACGGTCTCTTTGCTCAAGTTGAAATCTTTCAGAGGCAGGGTTATTCCACCCAAGAAAAAATTCTCCCGCAGCGATTCAGCACTGAGTACACTTAGTTGAAGTTTTCTCTGTCTCAATGTTTCTTTGCTATATCCACTGTACACAAGCTACAGCAAAGGCAAAAAAGAAACAGAAAGTTACAAATTATTTGGTTTCTTGGATTATTTTAAGTAAAAACATAAGCGAGATTATTAGTCAGACAGTGACTACAATTAATGACATTTGATTACGACACATCTGGTGGAATTTGTCTTATACTTGAGATATATTTCAGGAGTCTTGGATTGTATTCACATGCTTCTGAGTGCCTGACGTAGCAATGCACAAAGTAGAAATTATTGGCTAAAAACTAAAAATATGGTTTTTCTAAGATGGAGATATGGAGAAGAGAAAAGAAATTACTTTGGCCGCATGCATTAAGATGATATAATAGCTGGAAAATGAGACTGGAAGGAAGTAGCTGGGATAGCATAATTATAATTATTTTACAAAAAAATGAATTAAAGCTTCCTTTTGCTGTCTTTTTTCTGTTGGATTTTTATATAGCATGAAATGATAATTCCTGAGTATCCATAATTCAATGCAAATTCACCAACTATAAATTCAGTTTACACTGAATCTGGAGTTTCACCCACCATATTCAACACTTAGAATTCTTTTTTATTTTCTTCAAGAAAGCCTCACAATAACTTCTGAGAAACATTTTCTTAATATAGTCCTTCTCACTGTTTGACTTATAAGAACTAATAAACTGAATACATTTCATTTTCTTGAAAGTACAATACTAACTAGAAAAAAGCCAATACTTTTTCGGAATACCAATTGGTCTTCACCAAACATATTATACGCTTTTAAAGGGCTGAAACGATACACTGTGATTTTAATAAATGTATAACCTTGATGACTATTCAGAATTATTTGCCCTCAGATCTCTATCCAGACATTTTGTGTGGAGGTAATGTTAACGCACACAAATAATGTGGCGTTTATCCTAAAGAAGTACGTACTTGACTAAGGTCAGTGGGTTTTAATAGATGAGCCATCTACATCTAAGTTGACTGACTCTAGTAGCTAAGCAAAGTCACGGCTCTGCTCCGCACTGTTCGGCTGGTGCTTTGCTTACTGTCTTCTGTTTGGAGCACTCTGTTTAAGAGGGCTGCTCACAGACCACAACACATTAGAAGGAGGGGGATTTTGAAACTACATCCTATCAGGCAAAGGTGAAGGTTCTGAAGATGTTTTAAAGGAATAAACAGGAAGGGCATTTCAACTTCAATTACGTGAAGGGCTGCCATGTAGAAGTAGGAAAAGAGTAGTTCAGTGTGATTCCAACAGGTACAACTGAGGCCCACAGAGGCAAACTTACATGAAGGGAGATGTCAGTTCTGTGTACAAAATAATCTAAGAGTTGGAGCTGCCCCAAACAAAGTGGATGGCCTGGAAGTATTTCAGCAGACTGGACACCTTTCTAGAAAATGCTGTAGAAGGGGTTCAAGCACTGGAAAGGCAGAAGAATAATGGCCCCTAAGATCTTCTTAAAAACCTAAGGTCTAGGGCCAGCCGAGTGGCATGTTGGTGAAGGAGCTGGCTTGGGACACCAGAGGGCCCTGGTTCGGATCCCACATATGAGGGCCAGTGACACTGCCCTCTACAGCTAAGATGCTGAACAACAGCTCAACCTGGAGCTGGGCTGCTGTGAGTCACCGGCAATGGCATAGGCTGCAGCCCCTGTGGTAGTGGGTTGCCATGGGCTACCATGTGTAGCCAGCAGCCGGCGACTCATCTGCCTCACTCGGGAAGAGCGCAATGATGGTGCCAACTTGGGCCAGTGAAGCAACGTCCTCCACAACTAGAAAAAAGAACAAAAAAAGGACAGCAACTTGTCTGTTCCCCTTCCCCCAATTCCCCAACGCTGTTCCCATCCCACAATTCCCCAATTAAAAAAAAATCTTAAGGGCCGGCCGAGTGGCTCAGTTGGTTAAGAGCTCGCTCAAGAGTTTGAGCTCTGAGCAACAGCGGTTCGAGTCCAGCCCGAGCTGAGCAGCCGCTGAGCTGCCAAGCAGGATGGCTCAGCTATTAAAAAAAAAAAAAAAAAAAAAAAATCTTAAAAAAACCCCAAAAAACCTAAGGTCTACGATAGAGGTTCAAATCTGCATCACTTTGTTAAATGTCACTGGACTGCTACTGATTTGCTTTACTAGTGCAATAAATAGTTCAGCAACCAATACAAACATTTTAAATTTCAAACAAAAATCTAGGAATTTTTTAGAAATGATTTTAACTTACCATTTCGTTGAATGTTGGATTCCTAGTTTTTCGTGAAATTTTGGTTTTACGTTTGGATGTTTTGTGGGTATCTGGAAGCAGGTATGTTTTGACATATGGATTTGGGTCAGCCCCATCTTCAGTAACCTATAAAGAAAAGCATTCCCTTAACAGTAATGCTTCCTACCAAGGTATGGGTTTCCTCTATAACCATCATTATTTGTAATCACTCACAAGATCTTTGATGTGCATCACCATGATGAAAAGAGTACCATTTCGGTAAGAGACAGACAATTTCACTGCTCCTCCTATTTGGCCTGGAGTTGGACTGAAGGGACCTGCATCTGAAAATATAAATATGTTCATGTTTATTTTCTCTTGCTTGCAGTGGTTCGAGCTGCAACAAAACATTTTTGCTTTAACTCCAGGACCGTAACATGTGGGGTTAAAAAGAAGGGCAAGAACCTAGCCACTGGATACATACTTCAGTAATAGTAGGAAAGTATATTTATCTAGAAATACACTGGCTTAGAAAGAATACCCTCCTCTCATTCTCGCTGAACTACAGCTAGTAACTCTACTGTCATAGACCACATCCACCGAGAAGTTACAGAACTACAGACCATAGGGAAGCCATGGACTATCAATAAAGAAAAAAAAAAATCTCACCTGCAGACCTAGCTATGCCTTCAGCTTTCTCATCGCGAAGTAAAGGGTGAAAAAAAGTACAAACAAGATCACACTAAGATAGAAGAGGAAAGAGATCCATTAGTTTAAATATTATATAGCACAAAAAAACCAGTATGTTATTTTTCAGTTAGGACATTCACCTCTGCTACATCCGTTGAAGCACTCATCAAACTTTGTAAGTAACTGTTTAATTCAATTTTTCTTTTGGCTGCTACATCTTTTATGTGTGTTCTTCCTAGAACCATCTTATTAGGAAAGCTACAAAAGACAAACAATAACAAGTGCAAGTGAGATTTAAATTATTTCATCTGGAAGTATTTATAGAATCAAGTACAATATTTACTTAGAAGTAGTTTTTATATACTTAAATACAAAGTAGAGTCTTAATCCACTATAAAGTAAATTTTGTGATTTCTCTTCAAAGTACTAGAGATGGAATAGTTCAAGTATCCATTATTCTTTTATGAACTGTTACAAAAAGTATATGGTTTTGCTAATTTGCTATATTTATTACTTATTTTCTACTTATTTGTTCTCAACATTAATCATTCACAAATATTTTATGTAGATCTTATCCTCCAAAATAATCATTATTCAGTCAGCCATAGCTATTGTAGATACCAGTAAAATCACAAACGACATATGGCCCAAATCAAGATAATCTGAACTCTGCTTATTGTGGTGGCTGTGGAAAATGAGACTGCACGTGGAAATAAACTCTGATACCCACTTTGATGCCTCTTTACTTTTGAAATCTAGTCTGAGAAGAATATGAGGAACTTGACACAGGAAATCTATGAGTCATTAAGCTACATGAAAACTGAGGATTTCCAAAGGGTATCAGATACAAAAGTAAACACTAAGAGGGCCAGCCGAGTGGCTGGTTGGTTAGGAGCGCGGGCTCTGAGCAGCAGGGCCCTGGTTCGGAGCCCATGTGGGCCAGTGACACTGAGCCTTCTACAGCTAAGATGGTGAACGGCAGCTTCAACTGGAGCTGGGCTGCTGTGGGTCACCAGCAACGGCATAGGATGCAGTAGGCTACCACGAGTGACCGGCAGCCGGCGTGGGCAACCAGTGGCCGATGGGAGCTGCCATGGGCCGCTGTGAGCGGCCGTCCACTGGCCGGCAACCTATCTGCCTCGGCCGGGAGGAGCGCAATGATCATAGTGCCAACGTGGGCCAGTGAGGCAGTGTCCTCCACAACTAGACTGAAGAACCAAAGGACAGTGGCTTGTCTGTTCCCCTTCCCTGATTCCCCAGAGCTGTTCACTCCCCCCAATTCCCCAATAAAATCTTTAAAAAAAAAAAAAAAAGTAAGCACTAAGTTTCTGATTAAGTCTCAGTGCCTCAGCTTTTTATTTTTTGGAGGAGCTCTGTATGATCGTAATAGATTATTTCCGGTGATTTAAAATCTGATTTTTTAAAACCAAGAGTCCAAATTATTATCTTGTGTTGCTTACTGTGGTAAAGATAACCAATTTAAAGCTTCAACTAAAATTAGAAAGCTAGAAAATCCCACATGTTAAGTTTAAGATCTTGATCATTTATTCACTTACTCATTCAACAAAAACTTAGTTACTTGTCTATGGCTACTACTGTGATACAAACGAAAATAAGTCACATATGGTTCATAGTCTTTTACTAAGTGTTAACCCAAAGCTTTTGACCTATACTTGATAATAAAGAAATTGTTTCCTATAAAAAAAGGATTAATGTACATGGATGGAAACATACCCTGGTAACTTCCAAAGTGGAAAAATAATACTGAGCTTGTTGTGAAGTTCTTGAAATTCGTCAAATGTCCGGAACACAAATGAGGGCTCAAGCTGTCCTTCCCTCAAAATTCGAACTACATAAATCTGAAAAGAAATGACATTAGATTCATAATAAAACCTTTCCTGACAGAAAAATTTACAGCTTGACCATTATATGTAATACCAATGCTTTTAACTTGGTAATATATGTCACCAATAGGAAATAGCAAATATAAAACACACCGTAATTTATATCACATCCAACTACATTCTAAGAGTGACCTTAACCATTGTAATATATAGAAACAAGGACTGGAAAAGGTAGAGTCAATGGAATTGTAACAGCTACATACTATGTCAGAGGGGTAGTAGTGTAGCGGAGGGGGATTATCACTTTGTGAGGGGTGTTAATGTCTATTATATTGTTTTGTACACCTGAAACTAAAAAAAAAACCTAGAAAGGTAAAGTCATTTCATTTCCAGGATTAAGTATAATAAATGTACTTCCAAAATTTATAAATTTAATACATTTCCAATGAAAATATTAATAAGCTTATTTAAGAGAGTAAATGAGAAAAAAGGCAAAATTTATGGCAGTTAGGTTATGAGGGAAACGTATCTTACTGGATATTTAAACTGTTATAAAGTCACAGTACTTTAAAGAGTAAACTGTTGTGCAGAAAGATCAGGTATACCTACAGAAGAAATGAATTCAGGGATATATATAAACTTAGCGTATTTAAAGGTGACATGAGAAATCATTGTGGCGGGGAATGAACTACTCAATAAAATGATATCAGGATAAAACACTCAGTAAGCATACAAAAATTCACTAGTAATAAAATAGGCAAAAGTTAAAATAATAGTAAAGTCGCTTTCTAAAATTTATCAACTTGTCAAAAATTTAAAGACTGACAGTGCTGCAAAATATTAGCACAAGGGTGAAAAATTACATCAAAAATGATGATATGGAGCAGCCGGTTAGCTCAGGGGGTTAGAGCACAGTGCTCATCACACCAAGGTTGCTGGTTCGATCCCCTCATGGGCCACTGAGCTGTGCCCTCCACAACTAGATTGAAACAACTACTTGACTTGGAGCTGATGGGTCCTGGAAAAACACACTGTTCTCCAATAAAAGTTTAAAAAAAAAAAAAAAGAATGATAATGCTATACTACTGGATGGTAGAGAGAAGCGTACTGAAGATCCTGGTTTTTTTTTGTTTGTTTTTTAAATTTGTGTGTTACTACTTCAAGAGCTCGCTCAAGACTGCAAGCTCTGAGCAACAGGGTCACCGGTTCGATTCACAGCCCGAGCTGAGCTGCCGCTGAGCTGCCAACAGATGCCAGGATGGCTCAGCTAAAAAAAATAAAAATAAAAATAAAATAATAATACTTCATCTCTGGAGAGTAGAATGAGAACTTTTAAGACTGTTACTTTATATGCTTCTATATTGGTTGAATTTGTTACAATGAGCAAGCTTCACCTTTGGAATTAAGAGGAAATTGAAGATAAGGAAGGAGAAAAAGCAAAATAGTGAGTACTACCCTTTTAGTGTTGCCTGAAAAGAGGAGTATCATTTGTCCCTCAAGGTTTTAGAGCAAATTAGGAATGCTCCAAGTACATTTATTTTTGGACCATCTATGGAAGAGAAGCATAAAAAGGTTGAAACTTTAGCCGAGTCAGTAAAGGAAGCAAGAAAGGACAACAAAAATGCAGGCGTGGGTCTCTATAAGTACCTAAACCAAACTTACGTAATGTTTATCTGGGTTGTATTTCTTATGATAAGTAAAAACAGAGACTTCCTTGATCCGACCATCTTGTCTAAAGGAATACGTTTTGGGTGAAAATGAAAGGATGGGCTCATCATTGGAAGGGATGCCAGAAAAACGAAGCTGGGCAAGGTTGTGAATGAAGAAGTTAAACTTCGTGGCAATGCTTCCCAAACTTGATTCAATCAGCCTACAAATTAATCAGAAAAGAGGTTAACAGTAAATGTTCATAAGAACACATGCTCAATTCTTTTAACATAATAAAAGATAAAAAACACTTGCATTCCTTTTAAAATATTAAGCAGATTCTCACTTTTCCAGGGATCCCCTTTATTCTATAGGCCAAAAACCACGAAAATGTATCTCGCCCCAACAAAAAATGTTAGCACAAAAGTCTCTCTTCTATCCCATCCCACTATCTCTAAGAAATGAGGTTTGGGTACCTGAGCCATCTGAGGTTCAATATTAATTAAAAGCTATTAGGGATAGAGATAATTGGTAAAATGCCAAAAAGATGATTACATTATTTCATTCCCTTGTAATAAACGGGGTAGGTGACAATTAAACAGGTGTAGAAGGAAGCATCCAGAGTAATCCAAATTAAAAAAAAAAAAAGAAGGGCCGGCTGAGTGGCTCAGTTGGTTAAGAGCTCGCTCAAGAGTTTGAGCTCTGAGCAACAGCGGTTCGAGTCCAGCCCGAGCTGAGCAGCCANCTCTGAGCAACAGCGGTTCGAGTCCAGCCCGAGCTGAGCAGCCACTGAGCTGCCAACAGGTAGTAGGATGGCTCAGCTAAAAGAAAAAAAAAAAAATCTCTTCTATTAAATACAATAGTAGAATCTGGTATCAGTGTCCTTCAGACAATCATAACGTTCCTCAGTTGGGAAAAGAAATTTTGACAGGATGGGGAGTTTGGTGGAAATAAATTTGGAAGGAGGGCCTGGATAAAATATTTTAGGCAAGCAAAGGATACAAGAAGCAGCAGAAAGTGAAAAGAGATCCAAAAACAGAAGTGAGAGAACCTCACACAAAGCTTTTTGCCTTGCTATGCATAGACTGAACATTTGTGTCCACCAAAATTCATATGCTGAAGCCCCAACCCCATAGGGCCATTATGGGGTTAGTAATTAAGGTTAAATGATGTCATAAGGGTATCCTGTCCCAGTAGGATTAGTGTACTTATAAGAAGAGACAAGGCCGCTCATGCTTTCTTGCTCTATCCGTCCTTCATGTGAAAAAAACAGGGAGAAGGCAGTCAGTTGTCTACAGGGTAGAGCCCTCACCAGGAAGCAAAATAGCCAGCACCTTGATCTTGGACTTCCCAGCCTCCAGAACAATGAGAAAATAAATTTCTGTTGTTTAGGCCACCTGTCTATGGTATTTTGTTATGGCAGACCAAGCAGACTAATATATGTCTGCTGTACAGCTTTGCCCAGGGGAGCCAACGAATCTCTTTTAAAAAACAACAAAACGAAACGAAACCCATCAATACTTAAATTATCAGGATTAGTTTGGAAGGCTATACAAAAGTCGGCTTCCTTCAATTCAATTCAGCCCAGACTCTTGAGACTAGGGAAGTCCAGTCAGTGTTTTCTACCTCTTCTCCACTGAGAGGAAGAAGGCAAGAGAAAAAGGAAAGAAAAGAACATGAGCTCATATGCCCCTCTCTGCTGTGGCATTATAATGAGGTGGTTCCACTAGTCAGTGACCAACGTGGTCACCAGACAGAACATATTTTCCAGGAAGAGCTCCTTTTAAAGCAATAATGACAAGTTCAAATGCAATCATTAGTGTAAGTGTTTCAAGTACTATGTCATATAACAATTTACTACAGCAGAGTAGTAAATTTACTACGGTAGTGTTGTAGTTTGCTGTTTTAAGCACTTAAAGTATCCATGAAATTTGTTATGACAGAATCCTCAAAAATAGATTAGGACAGATACAATTTGAGGGGAAAAAACCTTATATTTGACACTGTAGAAAATGTTTCACAGAAATATTATAGTTCATAAATGGGATGTTCATAATTGAAATTATATAAATAAACCTTGAGATCATATTTTGAGAGAAATGATATGTTTTTTTAAATGCTATTGGAAAGCCTTTAAATTTATTCAGTAAATAAAATTTTAACAATTATTTGCTAATACTGTGAATCAATGTTTTCCTATAAATCAGCTTTTTGATATATAGCATTTGTTTATACTAAAGAAAACCAATCAAAGCTGAACTGTATGTACCTGCTCTAATATACTTAAACATGCCTTACCTAGTAAAGAAAATTGTGGCTTCTGCATCTGTAGTTTGTGGCTGAAGCGCATCTCTGACATATTTTAAATCTTGAATACTCGTAAGCTCTGGTAACCCCGAAGGAATCATCTACAGAGAGAGACAAAAAAAGTTTCTGAGTTAAATTTTTAGTAAGTTTGTTTCCCACCCTTCCTTAAATGCTGGCCAAGGAATCAGAACTAAATCAAACAAAAACAATCACAGTTTTGAGGAGTTTGTTAGTGTTTTAGAAACCTAAGTAATTCTCTTATAAAAAAACAAAATCGAGGCCAAAGAAGTCACAAAGTCAGTTTATGGAATAATAGGTGTAAAACCTGACATTTTGTCTGGTGCTGTTTTCACATCAATTTCAGTCTCAGTAATCATAGCGCGTTTTTGTTTGTTTTTACTTAATATATGTCCACAATCTGAACATACTCAGATGACTACACAAAACATCTACCAGTATCCCAGATGACACCCTCGGGGTCCCTTTCAGTTACTATTACTCCTCACCCACAGGGCAACTACTCTTGTGATTTGTTTTTTGTATTTTCTATAAATGGTGTCTGGCATGTTTCACATAGCAGCAATTTTAAATATATTGTCAATAACATATCTGACATTTGAAACTATAGTAAATTTTATTTAAAATCACAAAATATCCTTTTTAGATATTGAAACACAGAAGCATTAATATAAAATCAAGTGCTTATAAAGAAGAGAATTACCAGTGAAAGGAGGTTAAGAAAGAGGTTTGTTCGCTTTCTTATCAAGTTATAGGCCTGACAGCAGAGGTCCACAAACAACTGAAAACGAATGGTGGGCTTTTCACCCCCATTGATGACATACGCCATATCAGAGGTCAGCACAAAAGGAGCCCGATCCCTATTTAAAAAGAAAGTACACACAAAGTATTATTTACAGAAGATATTCAAACAGCGCTATTGCCATTATCACATGGTTATTGAACTGAGCTACCCAAGCCATATAGCAATTCCCAAAGGAGGCATCGGGCAGTTTTGAATCTGCGTTAATTCTTGAACATTCATGTTTTTAGGAAACTCATCATATAATCTCATTATTTAGATAGAACATACACATGAAACTTTTTCCCAATGTGATATTTATAAATCCACATGCCCAGACAGAGATCAAACACAGCAGTTACAAACAGAGGGAGAAAAATTTTATACTCATTGCCATTATACGAATGGGAACATTTCCAATAGGTACCAATAACTAGATAAAATAAAATACATCTTAATTCACTAAGCAAAGGTTATACACACATACTCATTCTTGTGGTAAAGTCATCTCTTAGGATGTTTTCATCCCCCGTTATGCTCAAAGGGAACTACGAGGCAAAGAACAGCAATAAAAAAGGCAAGGTTGGGACATTAGCTTGTGAACTAGGAAGTGCCTCTTTTCTTCAGCAACAATATTAGTACCTTTTGAAGCTACCAAACATCTGTGCATGGCCCAGAAACTTCCCGAAGTCAATGTGAAACATGTGTCCTGTGCTTCGAAGCATTATATTGTCATTGTGTCGATCACAGATGCCTAAAACATAGGTGGCTACACAGCATCCAGCACAAGAATAGATAAAATTCTCAGAAGCCTAGAGAATAACAATATATAATTATTTTTAGGAAAAAAATATTTATAAAGGAAGCAGGGTTACAAAGATCAAAGTAATTCATCGCTCTTTGAAAACGCTATTGTAATCCACTCTCTCAACAACTTATAAACTGGATTATGGTAACAAAAGCCAGCCTTTTCATATTTCAAAACAAAACACTCTTCTAAAGGTGGTTATGCCCCTTCTCTCTAGCTTTTGTCTTTTATAGTAGGCAGAGATGCCGCCAGGCCCTACGTCGGGTATGTGCTGCCTTTGAACACATTTTAAGCATCGTATTTGTGGAACCCCACTCCTCACAGGCTCTGCTGTTTAACACAAGTGGTAACACTGGTACAAAGGTTAATCTGAATAAAAGAATATTTTTCCCTTTTTTTGGCTTGTATGGAGGGTATGTGTAAAGAAAGCTTCTACTGGGTTGTTGGAAAAGTCATGACACATTTTTGCAATAAAAAACACAGAAAAAGTACGTCATGACTTTTCTGACAACCCAATATCTTTAAACATCAATAATATAATTAATGTATTTTCTTGCCCATTTGGCGAATCCTTATGTGTCTATGTGTCATCTGTTAAGTTTCTCAAAGCTGGGGACCTTCCTTTCACTTTGGTCCTGCTTGTCCTGGAGATTAAATTGCTAACATAATATCACACAGAAGGATACAGCAAGATACATACAATGAATATTTTTATCTAAAGCATGTGCATTTAGTTTATTCTCAAGATACTATATTTCCGAATGGAGCAGTCATATGGCTCTACATGTCCATGTGTTTAATTTTATTCTATACTCCCTCAAAAATCATTACTGATGATGATGATAGCAAATGTTTACACAGCACTTATCACAAACCAGGCACTGCACTACTCTCTCTCTGTTTCTCTTTTTCTCCCCCCGCCCACATTCACAGCATATGTATGTGCCAATGTGGGTATGTGTGTGTATGTATGTATGTATGTTTTATGCATGTATACATTAACTTATTTAAATCTCACAACAAACCATTAATGTAGGTACTATTATTCTGCCATTTTACTGAAAACACAGAGAGGTTATTTGCCCAAGATCACATAATTGTTAAGATTCAAAGCCACTCAATGTGGCTCCGCTATGCCACATTCTCTCTTACTTCGTACAGCACACAAAAGTGCCAAATGCATAAAAGACACTTAGTGCATGTTACCTGACCATGATTTTGTGTCAAACAACTTACCCGAAGTCACAAAGGAGCCAACATTACTATAAAAAAGTATTGGCTTCTGCTGCACTGCTTTCCCCAAACCACAAAGAAGAAAAGGAAGTGTTCTCAAACATTTCAGAAGACCAACAAAAGACAAAATTCCTCTACTTTCTTAGATCAACAGATAGTATTTGTACGTATTTATCTGCAAATGTGATACATTCATGATTTGACATAAACTAGGCAGGCAAATGGCATTAAAGCTGGGAGCTTACATCAACATTGAAAGTATTCTTGAGTTTTCTTTAGGCCAATTTAGGATCATTAGAGCCTTATGTCCTAAGAGATTTCCCTTTTCTCTTATGTATTCAAAAGTATACTAAAATAAAAAAAAATTGATGCCTCCAATTTTAACAGCTATCAATTACAGAATTTATGCTATGCAGCACTTCATATATATTAATTCAATTCTCACAATAACCTCATAGTACTGTAGTTTTATAGCCATAATATAGACTATAATATCATAACATATACTATAACATTTTATAGTTGAGATCATTGAGGCACAAAGAGGTTAAGTCATTTGCCTGAGGCTCAACAGATGGTGAGTGACTTGGGACCTGAATTCAAGCCTGGACAGTCTGACCCATAATCTCGCTCTTAACTACGACATGATGCAGACACTCTTAACACATTTCCAAAACTTTTTCCAAGATCTTTCTGAAATTTAACATTCTGGATTATATAAATACCTCTGTTTTTCTGGCCTCAAAATACATGTTTGGAAAGTTTTTTGGGTAATTTAGCATCAGTTTCACTCAGATTCCTGCCATTAAGTGCACTGTTTTTATAGTCTTTTCTTTCCTTGGAGAAAGATGCTGTTTTCACAACTTAGACTAAATGGCTAGTCACCGGAGCTGAAAAATAAAAGCACTGAAAACCTATGTAATACATTTTTTAACCAAGTTATATAGAACAAGGAGACATGCTAATCACCTTTTCATATTCCTCTTCAGAGGGATTGTATTTCCTCAGCCACTCGGCAAGTGGTTTATCTTTAAAGGATCCAGTGACACCGTACTCCACTTGGATTTTCCTGAGGGTATCTGAAGCAGGAACTAGTTCCACCATGCCTGTAACGCCAAAACATTAAACTAGGTGAAAATGCCTCCCAAAAGGAAGCCTCTATAAAATTTATAGCTTTCAAATCCTTGACATAAGACACCAGTTAGCAATTTTCATTTTTAAAAAATTAAGTCTGGCAGCCCACACTAGAAAACGTGAGCAATCCAAATTATTTATTTTCCGAAGACCTACAATGTAAAAGTTAAATTTAACTATGAGACTCTATAGTCATATATCCATGAGATATCCCCCCAAAGAATAAAAATGTTAAATACAAACTAGATGACACTGACCTCCTTAATAAAATTACTTGTAAGATACATGCTGTCTACTTCACAAAAAACTGTCTTGAATCATATATTTGGGCAAGATAAGAGTGTTTCAGAGTACATTAAGACTTTTCAAAGAGAAGAACAGATTATGATTGTCCTTGTGACATGATTAAGTCTCAAGTAAGTGTTTTGTCTTCCTAACTACGAGTACATGCCTGGCTGGACAATTCATTTTTTGTTTTCCCTATAATTCCTTTAAAACAAGCATCAAACAAATTCATTATGGGACATCTACACAATGGAATACAATGAGGTAGATCTCTATGTGCTTATGTAGAAAGATCTCAAAAATATGTTTTTAAAGACAAAATCCAGAGGGAGAAGTGTGTTTAAAAGAAAGACTTTGGGTTTGTTTTTTTGTTTGTTTGTTTGTTTGTTTTTTAAGCTGAGCCATCCTGCCACCTGTTGGCAGCTCAGCGGCTGCTCAGCTCAGGCTGGGAATCGAACCGCTGTTGCTCAGAGCTCAAACTCTTGAGCGAGCTCTTAACCAACTGAGCCACTTGGCCGGCCCTAAAAGAAAGACTTTCGGCCAGCCAAGTGGCGCGTTGGTTAAGAGCTGGCTTGGGACGCCAGCTCTGAGCAGCAGGGCCCCA